GACTAGTAGAATTTTTCAAAAAGCCTGGAAAACAAAAGCCTAAAAAGTCTTTTTATATGCCAATTGGTATTTAATTATATTTACCTCTATTAAAAAAGTTTTTATTTTTAGAAAATCACTCAGTATTCCTTGAAATTCCTTTGAAATGGAACTCTAAGGTCAAGAGATGGCTTCAGTGTTTTAATGACCCATCTTGGCGCCTTCCTGAGATGATCTCTGCCATCACTTTGACCCTCGTTTATGTCACACACTTACAGTTTTAATGGGTAAGGAAATGTTAACAGGCCAGGCGAGGCAAACCAAACTCTGACTTCTGCTTCTCTTTAATAAAACCTTTACAGTTTTTGATTCTTTTTTTTTTTTAAATCATGTACGACAAATTCAATGTTATTAAGTTTTTAAATTCTGCTACAAAGATCCCATGACATTGCAATGCATCCCTCTATTTCAATGAAAACAAGTAGACCATTTTCAAGGCTGAACATTCATATCCAGGAGCATAGAATGTGCTTCATGTTTCCTGTACTCGGGACACTGCTTACATCTCTCTCTATGCTTCTTGCTGACATGAAGTCTGTCACAGCTAACATTTTCTTGCAGACTTGCACATTGTCTTTCTATTCATTTGGATGCTCAGGCAGTTTCTGGGAAGAGCTAATTTTTAAAAATCAGAAGCTACCTTTATTTTATTAGTTTTGATGCCTTTAAGAATGAATATCAAGGCTTACCTAAACAAGACCTTGATATTCCATGCATCACAGTAATTTTTAACACCTGAATATAGTGAAGGTTTTACTTTATTCGTTAGTGTTCCCTTAACTCTGGCAAATGGAAGTGGCTTAAGTAGGGATTCTGGGATTTAATGAAATACGATTAATATGGTCACATCCATATGAATTTTAGATAAACAGATATTCATTATAAATATTTTCTTCATCTAAATTAATTGATAAAGAGTTGAAGATGAACTGTTCTAGTTCCTACATGTCTGTACTTCTGCTGGCTGGCTTTTCCCGTACAACCATTATGTCCACAGGCACTGGAAATGGATGATGAGCATTTTCTAATTAGTGCATCTTCATTACAGGTGGCGCCTTTGATCAACACAGCCCCATTGTTCCATTATTTACAATGTTATTATCCCTAGCAACTGGATCTGTCTCATATACTTAAGATAGTTATTTTACCTTTAAGGACAACAAGTGAAATATATTTCTAGTCCCACAGATATAACAAATAGATATAAACATGCATAAATAAATAAATAAATAAACATGCATGCATTTATACATCTAGACTAGAAATACAGCTTTCTAGGACACGCACAAACCGCTCTTTCTCTCTGCCATTCTGAAGAATGAACCCGAGACCTTGACATAACTCTTGACCTTCACACCTATCTTCATTTCCCAACCCAAATTCCCTGGCATTTTAAGCATGTAGTGAAAGGCTTTTTCTTTTTAATTGTTTTAATTGGGGTTGGGGGTTTAATTGTCTTTATAAATGTTTGCCCTACCCATACCATTCCTTTTTTATGTTAGATTTTATTGGAGGTGTTTACAGACTCTTAGTTTTATAGGAATTTTATTTCCCTTTATAACGACTGGGGACTAATAGAAAGAATACTCTTTATAGACAGAAGACAAGAGAGTTGTGTGCTCTGACTGCTCAGTGAGGTTTCTAGTTGTCTTGTCTGTCTCCAGAAACCACAATGTCTGGACTGAGAGCTCTTGGAGATTAGAACTTGACTTCTGAGAGTTGGCTGGATAACGAAGGTGATGTCTCTTATTCAGCCTTCAGGAGACGCTGTGCTCACAAAAACTAATGGCAGTTTATTCCTCGTTAAGCAAATTAGGTGCACCTGAGATCTCAATAACTTATTTATTTATTTAAAGCTTATTTAAAATAAAACTTTTAGCTGCTTTATATGTATTCTCTCCTGCTTTCTAACTAGATTCTACCTGATTACAGCAGAAATATAAACAGTCACCTGTAGGGATTCTCTCTGGTAAGTTCTCCTCTGGGTCTCCTGTGGACCTTAGCTATTTGTAGATTAGACTGGAGGCTGAGCTCACCTGAGTTTTCAAGCGATCATCTTTACAGGCCTTTCTTCACCTTGGATAGAATGGTTTACTTGATCAATGACAAACTTGAGCTTCTCCTGTCAGAGGGCTTTTGCTAAGAGAAATCAAATCTATCTCCAGCTTTTAGGGATTCTACCCTGGTTCTGGTTTACTTAGCCACACCTAGCTGACTAGATTAAAAAAAGATTCAACCTAGAAACGATTATCAACATTAAAACATATCTGCCTCATTTAGAAGTGGGTTGTATTCAATTGGATGGTTATGCTTTCAATTTCCCTCTTTTGTGCGTCATGTCTCTTAAATACACTAAAACAACCAAGGTGCATGCATTTATTTTCATTCATTCATTCATTCATTCATTCAGACATTCATTTGTTGCTAAGTTGGAGGCAACTTCACAGATCACATCCATGGAGATCTGCTACAGTCAATGTTGTAAACTTGGTGCTGGAGAACTAACAGGTTGATAGGATATACTATAACGAAGATGAACCATAAAGGCAAAATGGATGCAAAATTTCAGACAATTTTCTTATTTCTAGTTCCCAAATATTTCACAGCAATGAAGTAGATTCTAAGGAAACACAAAGTCAGGCACATATATCAGTTCAAAACTACAGCAAAGAACAACAAGCTTTTCACACACCCACTGGGTGCTTTCAGGATAAGCTAGGATCTCAGGTCTTTATATTTGTAGAAGTTTGTACTTCAAAGCTGCATTTACATGAGAACTGAAGGGGCAAGTGGAAGAGACAGAGAGAGAAAGGGGAGAAGGAAGGAGGGAAGGAGAGGGGGAGAGGGAGGGAGGGAAGAAGGAAAGAAGGAAGGAAGGAAAGGGGAAGAGGAAGGGAGGGAAGAAGGAAGGAAAGAAGGAAGTAGGAAGGAAAAGAGAGAGGGGGAGGGAGGAAAAGAGAGAGAGGGAGAATAACAAAGAGAGAGAGGAGAGAGCACCTGTCCCAATGCAGTTCCCTTGGTGGGTCTACACCAATTCCTCTGCTCTAGGAGGAAAGGTAGCATGGTTTCTGCAAGCATAAGTGATGCTTAGAGGAAAATTAAACCATGGATGATGGCAGGGCCGATTACTCTACTGTGCTTTAGAGGCAGGAGACTGCTGTCTCGAGTCCAAAGTGGTTTCATATGGACGCCACAGCTGCGGTTTACTCTTGAAACTATAACCTGTCAAATTAGAAGCAGGCAAGGCCTCTGCTCTTAACGGTCCCACTTTCTACTTCTACTGTCTACAGTTTTTCCTACAAGTCTATCATTTTTATTCATCTCAACTATGTCATTTGGATGAGTAAAATATGGAAACTACTTGTCATCTTGGCAGGAGAAGATTCTAGCATGTTGTAGGCTTAAAGAAACAGTCAATTTTGGACTTGCTGTCTAGATATGGCTTACTTCAACTGTAAGTGTCCTTACTGAGTTTGCTGCTGTCTCATTGTCCTGCTTGACACCATGCAGTGTATAGTACAATACCAGAAAGTGGTTCGTATGTGTGAGCACTGGAGTTGTTTTTGCTCCTGGCGTCTTGACTGACTATACTGAGTCAACGTCCTTCCAGCTCTACTCTGTTATTAGGAGCCTAGGGTTACAGAATGTTCCACCCCATTCCCTCCCTTAACTGTGGAATGGCCTTCAGGCAATTTACTGATTTAGCTGAGATCTGTCCCAGTGAAATTGAAAGTCAGGTGTTCCACTTTACATATAATTTTGGTAGGATCCTCCTTTACTGGCTGTCTTCATGTTTATCTCATGATATGAAATATTAGAAACTAAAGTACACTTTGCTCCCTAAGCAACACATCATAAGTGAAACCATGCCCTACAAAAATCATATCCTGTTGAGGCCATAATGGCATCAGAAATATGTGTTTATCATCTGCTTTGGACAACTTAGCATATTTTTGGCCCACGGCAAAGTTGAAGTAAAACCATCTGTAGTTGCCTCAAAGCAAGATAACCACACTTTCCTAGGTAATTGATACCTAAGAGGGTACTGCCTTTAGATCACAGCCCAAGATCTAGGCATGCTAATTCTTTAAAGAAGGTTGTTAAATTTACAATGCATGGATGTCAACAGGGCTTCCTCCAGACTCAATGTGAAATAATCCCCGCTTTAGCACACATAGAGACCACAATGAGACAGGCATTTAAAAATTCCCTTGGAATTCTGGAATTACCTCTTGTGCCCAATTTCAGGAGAAGGGGGAAACTGAGACTCCTTTTTGAATGTAAAAGCATAATAGTCATAGTGAGAACTAAGAATACTACTGTGTGTTTTGGAAGGCACTCAAATGAAATCAATCATGACTTTCATTTTTCCTGGAGTGTATTTAAAGAAGCAGTGATTTGAAGTATAGATAGCTAAGGTAAATAGAAGACATACAATTTTTATATTCATTGTGAAAACATGTATATGGAATGCAAATATGTCACTTGCTTTCTGTGACAGTGATGTAAAGCATGTAGCTTCCCTGGACACCAGCTTAGTCAGTGAGGCCAACCGCAGCCGCCAACAGCAATCTGAAAGGCAGTTCTTCACTCTGTGCCAAGACAAAAGCACTAAGAATTACCTTTGCCTTGGAGGCAACTGAATAATTTGGGGAAAAAAAAGTTAAGTAAATATTTAATGTAAAGTAGCCTGATGGAATAAAATGTAACAGTAAATGTCAGATCCAGAGAAGAGAATGCTCGCTATTTCCAAAGAAGAAAACAGAATCAAAACTCAAGATGTTTCTCAAAGCCGAGTGTGGAGGCAAAGTTTCCCTTCCCAGGGCTGGCTCCTGAGCATGCTGCCCAGACAAGGCCACTGATCTTACCTGTCAGGCAAAAGTCAAGGACACAGGACAAGAAGGTGGGACCACAGGCACTATGTTGGGCAGTTACTGCTGGGAAACAGGAATGTACCATACCTCCATTCTCTCCTGTTTAACATCATCAAGTTCGTTGTCCTCAAACATGGCCAGAAGCTCTCCTGTTTGGTCAATAGAGTTGATCAAGTCCTGAGCGATTTTCTGTCTCTTGTTTGTACTGCTGCTGCCACTCAGTTTTTCTTCATGAAGGTTAGAAAGGAGAACAAAAGGTACTGAGCAGGGTACATTGGCATAAATCAGCATACATAGCAAACAGTACATGTGAAATTCACTCACAAACATCTTTATAGAGAAACTCTTATCTCTAAAACAAGTCACACAGAAATCAATCACAAAAAATAAAATAAAATCACATTATTAATTACCATCGTAAGTGTAAAAGGGCTGACTCAATCCCGTATGAAAGGAAGAGGGGCTCTCAGGTTTGGCAAAGAATACTATTCCATAGTACTTACAAGAGAAATAAAACACAACTAGGAAAGAGAGTGTGCTAGGTAAACACAAGCAAAGAAAGCAGAATTCATAACTACTAATGTTAGAAAACACAGTTGTGACCAAACTGTTACATCAAACATCGTGAAATATTAGCTAATGAAAACGAATACTAACAGGCCTACTTTTACAGAACCAAGATAACAGAAAGAAAAATCCTGCAAAAGGGGTCCTATTAAACAGTGGGATCAGCAAAAGGGTCCTATTAAACAGTGGGACCAGCAAAAGGGGTCCTATTAAACAGTGGGATCACCAAAAGGGGTCCTATTAAACAGTGGGATCAGCGACAGATACTTGTGTGCATTTCTCCCAATGTGACAACTTAGGTTAAGGTCGTAAAACATAGAAGTGCTTCAGCACCTATACGTTAGCAGCCACAGAATCAAGGGAGTCTATTTTTCAAGTCATTTTCTTCTGAAATAAAAATTCTAGTGTACACATATACTCACAGCAATGGCTGGGGATGTAGCTGTGCAAGACCCTGTGTCAGATCCCCAACATGGGGGGTGGGGGAGAGGAAGGGACAGAAATACACATACCCAACAATATTACATGTACTGCTTTCTCCTCCTTGCTCTCCCTCCCTTCCTCCCTTCTTTTTATGCTGTCTACCAATTCCCAGCTCACAGTGGCCATCTGTGTGTACCACTAGATATTTCTCTGTGATAACATCTTCACAATGGATTTCTTTACACATGTGCTTTCTTCATTTTCTTTAAAAATAGGTGCCTACAGCATTTCTTTAAGAAGAGAGGTTCTTTATCCTCTCTTCTGTCCAGGTTTCCTAGTTGAGGACAGAGAAAGATCTCTCCATTTTTGTAGATAAAGTCTGATTCTTTTATAAGGCCTGCATAATCATCTATATCCTATAGTATCTACTAACATGGCTTTCATGCCCATCCTCTGTTGATGGGCAGAGACTTTGTATCAATTTTTGCACTGGGGAAATGCTGAAGAGGTATCTCATTCATAGGTGTGCTCTGTTCTCATGGCGTAAGTTTCTAAAAACAGAAATGTTACTGACACTTCAAGTTTCATGAAAGCAATTCTGATGCTATTTTCGCCTACATTTCTTCTCAGAACTCCAGCAAATGTCTGATGAACCAAAGTGAAACACTGTAAAGTTAACCCCATAATCACCAAGAGATTTCAACATCTTCCCATGTCTGTCGCCTGTTTTCCATCTGTGTTTATCTATGCTAACAAGAGCTCTTTCCCATTGCCCTGTCGTCCTCTACCTATCTGCTGCAGAGCACCCTTTGCTACAGAGTAATCTAAGATTTATATTGTTCTGTTTAGCTTTTGACTTCTCTCTACTTCCACACAGTGTTAAGTTACATTTTTCAAGTTTTTTCTTCAGATTTACTGTTTCCTTCATTTTGTTTTTCATCTTTATGCATCTAGAATTTATTTTGAATATCGTTAACAGTATATCTTCAGTGTCTTTAAAATGTATATCACAGCACCACTAACATGTTTCCCTGTTATCTTGAAATTTTGTCATACCTCAAATTTCTGTGTCTCAGATTCTGTTATTGGACTTTCTAGCTTGTGCCAATCTTCCATATATAAAGTCCTCAATGACACCACAAGGTGCATATATACACTTCCTCTCCTATGTCTTACTTCTCCAAAGCATATATGGGCATTTCTTATTCTATAGGAAAGCTATATAATATTTTTGCATGATCTCAAGAAGAGGTTGTTGGAATTATAGCTAAAGCTGCATGAATTCATTGACTTTGGTTGAACTGATTCATTTTATGTTTCAATTCCTGTTTTTTCTTGTTATAGAAACTCCTAATTTTATCTGTTCCTGTAGTCCATGTTAATGGATGCTCTCCATGTTAATCAAAAGGACTATTTTCCTTGAGTCCGACAGGTGACTGAGCAACCACTGTGATGCTCATCAAATTGTTAGGATGCTCATGTTGATCCTCAAATATTAAGTAATATGCTTCCTAAGTAGCTAAGGTGGGGACTATTATCCATATACAATAAAAGATTAGTGAACTGAACCCTATCAGGTATATATTGTTACTTCAAGTGCAAAAGTGAACTTTCTGGCTAATTTCACTTTTAAAAAAGTATTTTATGTTTTTTACTGCTGAGTAATACTCTAATATGTATATATTCCATACTTTCTTCATCCATTCTTCCACTGAAGGGCATCTAGGTTGTTTCCAGGTTCTGGCTATTACAAACAATGCTGCTATGAACATAGTTGAGCATATACTTTTGTTGTATGATAGGGCCTCTCTTGGGTATATTCCCAAGAGTGGTATTGCTCGGTCCAGGGGTAGGTTGATCCTGAATTTCCTGAGAAACTGCCACACTGCTTTCCAGAGTGGTTGCACAAGTTTGCATTCCCACCAGCAATGGATGAGTGTACCCCTTTCTCCACAACCTCTCCAGCAAAGGCTATCATTGGTGTTTTTTATTTTAGTCATTCTGACAGGTGTAAGATGGTATTTTAAAGTTGTCTTGATTTGCATTTCCCTGATCGCTAAGGAAGTTGAGCATGACCTTCAGTGTCTTTTGGCCATTTAAAGTTCTTCTGTTGAGAATTCTCTGTTCAGCTCAGTGCCCCATTTTATAATTGGGTTGATTAGCCTTTTACGGTCTAGTTTCTTGAGTTCTTTATATATTTTGCAGATCAGACCTTTGTCAGTTGCGGGGTTGGTGAAGATCTTCTCCCAGTCAGTGGGTTGCCTTTTTGTCTTAGTGACAGTGTCCTTTGCTTTACAGAAGCTTCTCAGTCTCAGGAGGTTCCATTTGCGTACAAATGGATGGAAATAGAAAACACTATCCTGAGTGAGGTAAGTCAGACCCAAAAAGAGGAACATGGGATGTACTCACTCATATTTGGTTTCTAGCCATAAATAAAGGACATTGAGCGTATAATTCGCGATCCTAGAGAAGCTAAATAAGAAGGTGAATCCAAAGACAAACAAACATATAGGCATCCTCCTGAATATTAACCTTCATCAGGCGATGAAAGGAGACAGAGACAGAGACCCACACTGGAGCACCGGACAGAAATCTCAAGGTCCAAATCAGGAGCAGAAGGAGAGGGAGCACGAGCAAGGAACTCAGGACCGCGAGGGGTACACCCACACACTGAGACAATGGGGATGTTCTATTGGGAATTCACCAAGGCCAACTGGCCTGGGTCTGAAAAAGCATAGGATAAAACCGGACTTGCTGGACATAGCGGACAATGAGGACTACTGAGAACTCAAGAACAATGGCAATGGGTTTTTGATCCTACTGCACGTACTGGCTTTGGGGGAGCCTAGGCAGTTTGGATGCTCACCTTACTAAACCTGGATGGAGGTGGGCGGTCCTTGGACTTCCCACAGGTCAGGGAACCCTGATTGCTCTTTGAGCTGATGAGGGAGAAGGACTTGATCGGGGGAGGGGGAGGGAAATGGGAGGCGGAGGTGGAGAGGAGGCAGAAATCCTTAATAAATAAAAAAAAAAGTTTGAGCCAATGAAGGGAAGAATCTTTGGAAGCAGAGGTTCTGGACCTTATGGAGGGGGAGGCCTGTACTTTACCAAACTATAAAACCAAGGAGGATATGAAATGCATCTTTGGCAGTGACTGGAAGTTCTAATTACTGCCAGAAAATGAAGCTCAGTGGGATAGGACCAGAGGAGTGACAGGGAAGCTACAGGTTACAACAGATCCGTGAACTCAACCAAGTAGGGCTGTGGCAGGGCCTAACCGCCGCAAAGAAGACATGCTCTAGGCAATACGCATGCGTGCAGGCAAATACCATATTCATGACTAATTGTGTAATAGGTCATTTTAGTTCCTGTTCTGTGGAAAGTATAATGCATTGCAACAAAGGGTTTATTCTAGACCTTTTTTCATCCATGCTGTTGATTAATATAATAATATTGTCATAAAAAAAGTATTTCGTGGACACAGTGAAAAAACAAAAGCGACTGCTGACACTCCACTCCAAGGAAATAAGATCTAAGCACACATAATCAGATAGCTTCCTAGTTTATTATTTAGTTGCTACAGGTGTGTTACACTAAACCAGTGGTTCTTAACCTTCCTAATGCTGCAACCCATAATATATTTCCTCATATTGTGCTGCCCCCCCCAAACATAAAATTATTTTCAGTGCTACTTCATAACTGTAATTTGGCTACTGTTATAAATCATTATATAAATATCTGCTATGCCACCCCTGTGAAAGGAAAGTTTGAGCCAAGTGTGGATCATGACCCACAGGTTGAGAACTGCTGCACTAATCCCTGTGTCTTCTATAATCTTTATTTTTTTGTGGTATTTTAGTATAAAATTCAGAGCAGAATGCTAATGTTATCTCTTCTGTTTTCTTCACATTTTTACATACATTCATCAAACAAAATCGCATTTTATAGTCTTCCCATTTATTTTGACAGTTGTGATATCTATTTCTTCCTTCATTTTTTACATTAATTCATTCTTGTTGATAAATCTTCCATTTCTTCTCTTTGGTAATTTGAAATTTTGGTATATTTTTCCATTCTATTAATGTTTGCTTTTTTTCTCTGTATTTTCATTTAAATAGTGTCCTGCTTTTCTTTCCTTTTCAGGTGTGTACTGCATGTGTACCTGGTGCATTATGCACACATGTGCACTAGGTGACTGCCTGTACATGTGTGTCCGCGCCAATAGGCATCAACAATC